TAAAATCAAAGTTCTAATCACCCTTTTGCTGTTTATTCTAAAAACAATTTTTTAAAAAAATCTTTAAAATTGTATTTAAAATTTATTTCGCTAAGGATTGAAGGAGACTCACTGACTGTTTTCAGATTTGTTGTTCCAAAGGTTCTTAGTAGCTGAAAAGCAGGTAAAAAGCAATTTCCAAAAGTGATTAGAAAAGGAAGTATGCAAATCCAGCGTCCTTTTAAAGGCACCGACCATGGTTTGAGCAAGATAGCTATTTCCTCACGTCCCAGAGCTCTAAACACACCAGAGACTGCTGTCTTGTGGTCTCCTCATGAGAAACAACTGTCTGGAGCACTTGTGGGCGATTTCAAGTCATCTTCTTGTCCAGAGAGGAATTACGAAGTCGGTCCACTCACTGGCTCTTCATTCTGCTGCAGTCGTCGGCTCTGCTTTTAGAGGAGCCGTCTTCAGTTTGCCATTTCTTCCCCAGAAGTCTGGCCTTGGAAATGGATTTTTAAAAAAAGTTTAAAAAAAAAACCTCATCCCAAAGGATTCAGACACTAAAGTGTTAAAGGAAAAGCAAAATCTGATCTGTCAATCAAATCTAATCTGTCAGAGTGAAGACAGTTACAACCCCTGGAAGTCAGTGAAAATTACTGTAGTAGTAGGAGAATCTGCAATTTTAATTCTGTTAGAAAAATAAGGATTTGGTGAAGGAATTGTAAAAGTTTGTGCCATGCTTGAGGTAAGATCTAAGGAAAAGCAGGAAGCATTTTTTTCCTTCTCTGTAATGAGAAAGTAAAATGTATCATTATCTGTAATGATTCACACAAAATAGAAGAAAATGCAAAATTTATTTTGCAGTCTAACCCAGTGCTACACAGTGCTTTCAGAAAAGTAGGAAATTTCAAAACTGGGCACTAAACACATTTTGTGGGTGCAATCTGAGATAGATCTCCTTAAAAAATTTGGAAGGGTTAACTGTAGCAGACCTCCTCTCTCTTCTGGAAACAGAAGGAATGAAAGTATGTTATTTCTGTGGAGACAATTAGCCTGCCTCCAATCTCAAAAATAAGCTGTAAGGTAACCAAAGCACTTCAGAAATTTTCCTGAGGAGATTTGTATACCTTTCCTCTTTAGAAATAGAGGGGTCCATAAGCTCTCTAGGCAAAGACAGCCCTTCTTACTGAAGATCCTTCCTGGCATTTTTCCCTCTGTAGTAAGCCGGCTCCTTTTCCGGGCCCTGAGAGACCATGGGCAGTTTCAGAATGGGCAATAGCAGATGATCCTCTTAGGTCCTCTAGCTGGCTATATTTCTTAAAAGTAGGTAGATCACAATTACTTCCTTGTAGAAGGAGAGCTGTGTTAAGTAAGCTGTGGTAACGAAACATCAGAAGGAGTCAGGTAGCACCTTTTCCAACTCACAAATTGTATTAAAAGGCATAAACTTTCATGAGCTATAGCTCATTTCATCACGCATCTGAGGCAGTGAGCTACAGCTCACGAAATTTTACCTGACTTCTTTCTAACAATTGCCTTGTGACTCCTTGAGAGACTTAAGGAGCTCCCCAGGCAGATGGCCCTGTAGTTTTATTGGTTCTTAGCACCTTCATATTTAGCTACTAATACAACATGGTTGTCTTCTTTTGTCAGGTTCTTTAGCTTTAGCTTCTGTTACACATTCCTTAGCAATTTAAACAATTAGTGAAATAGTGAAGGCTAATAAGATAATTGCTTTTTTGCATGCATTCTGACAGTAAATATTAGACTAAATGTTATAAATGTATATAAGTGTGTGTGTGTACACCCAGAAACACATTCTTCAAGTCTGAGTATAGTTTTGTTTTCTTTATCTTTTGGCAACTAATGGCTTTTGAAGAAAACAAACATGTTTTTAATAGTTTCAGAAAATAAGCTGTTTTAAATAAGAGAGGAAGGTTTCCAAACCCATTATTAGGGGATTTTTGGAATGTCAAGTTTTTTTACGAGACAAAATATCTTCTCAATAAGGAGAAAATTCAAGGTTTTTCCAAATACTTAAAGCTTGACATATTTTCTCCTCAAGCAGTAAGTTGATTTTGAGACATTCAAAAATTGCCTAATTGCAGTTTGACATGTATATTCTTCCACAGTGAGTGTTTGAGGCAAATTGTTTAGTTATCTAAAGGATCTTCTTGTTTCTTCAGTTATTTCCTGGGTCTTTCTTTCAACCCAGACTTTCAAATTCCTCTAGACAATTTCTCCAGTATATACTGGTTAGCATAGTTGTGAGGTATAAGGAATGGTATGGCCTTCTAAGAGCATTCATAATCTTGGTTTTACAAGCTACCTTCAGAAAATATGTATTCTAGCAAAAGGCCTCAAGTTGCAAAATAGAAGTACTAAGAACCCAGTCCTGGGATATGCACCATTTGAACATCAAGGACAGGATCTTTCATTGTAGGAAAACAAAATGTAGGACCTACCATGTAAGTTATGCTTCTACAGTGGATTAGAAGCTATCCAGCAGTGAATAGAGATTAGCAGAAAATCACCAATGTCTAGAGGGTGTTTTTTCCCCCAGTTTCAGGCTTCCAAGGCACTTTGGAGCACTTCATATGTATTTTGTCATTAGCACTAATCTGGCATGAGCAGGAAAAGTTACTAAATTTAGAGTTAGCATAGTCATTCAGTGCTGTATTGTATCTGAAACACATGAAAGTATGTTTAATCAGATTGCACAAGCCCTGCCTCAAACAGTTGAGTGGAACAACCTGTTTGAAGATGCCTTCCCCCTCTTGTAAGAAAAGAGGCTATTTCTAATAGTCTCCATTGTCCATAATCATTTAATTGCTGTGTAATTCCTTGACAGGTTTTTATACTTTCTTGTACAGAAGGAAGGTAAAAGGTTCCAGAAAAGGGGGCAGCGCTATTTTTTCTAGCAAATTTAATGTAATTTTACTGTATCTATATATTAAAGCTGCAATAAGGTATAAGATTGAGAATCTTATAAGATAAGATCAAGGAATGAGCTTGCTCAGCCAATAAACTACCTCTTAGTTTTGTCCTGAAAATAAAATGTATTATTCCTATATAAAGATAGGAAAAAGAGAAGGTAGTACAGAGAGATAAGTTTATT